TTGCTTTGCATTATCGGGCAATGGTTATTTATCTGTACCAACAATATTTAGGCTAAAGCCCATTTCATCATTGCCCATTGTGTTAGGATACTAAATGTCACAAATGGCATCAAATCCTAATAGTAACTAGCTTTTAAAATTTCTTTAATTCTACTGTCCAATCCTATTTAATATTGTATAACAAACATGTAATAACTAGAGAGCCATTAAGTCCCGATAACACCAAGTTGTGAACGTGAATTAACTACTGAAGGCTTCTAAAGAACTGAGGATTGAAGGTTGTTGGTGACTTTTCGTACATGCTGAATCTATATTTCATAAACAGTGTGAATCGAACGCACCAAGATAGCCAAGGACCCACTTCGAGCTAAGCATGTCGGCTAGTGCTAGTTGAATCTCGTTCGAACCATTCCCACAACTAAACGAGCTCGCAAGCTTTTAGAATCTCACATTGTTTGGAAAAATATAAATGATCCACTTAATAAGGTGAGGACAATCCTCCCCTAATAAGCCGATTTTATTAGGTGGAGTTAGTCTCAATATTCCTAACATGGTATCAGAAATAGACCCAATTATGCAATGTTGGGTGCCACCCAATATCGATTTGTTCACAATTGTTTGGCATGGTCCACGCTGTGCGTGAGGGGCGTATTAGAATCCCACATTGCTTGGGAAAATATAAATAATCCACTTAATAAGGTGAAGACAATCCTCCCCTAATAAACCGATTTTATTAGATGGAGTGAGGCTTAATATTCCTAACACAAGCAGGGGCGGAACGAAGGAGACAAAAAAGAAAAATTTATAATGGACTGATACATTGAAAAAACAAAAAAAAAATATTGCCTTTAAAAACAAATTAGGCCTGAAACCTGCCCCTTTCCCTCCGCCCCTGCTTGCGAGCAAAGGGAAGAAACGAGAAAGATTCTTCTCAAGTAATGAATGAGTTGCAACAATTGATCTCTCCATCGGAAGTTAAGAAATATTTGACACTCTCCACCACCGTGGCAACTGTTTAAAAGTATTTACAATGAAATTTGCAATAGACATTATTTCTTGTTAAAGATAAATTAGCAAAATTTTGCTAGCTATCGAAAAATTTAGCCATGCGACTTTACCAAAATCCTTCTGATTAAATTTAGAAATTCATTTTCCAATGTAATTACAATTTTTTTAGTAGATAATTTCTTTATTATTATTATTATTATTATTTTGCAATTGATACACATAAATACATAGCTTTTCTCATCGAATTTATCTCTTTTTCAATTATTCCTCATTTACGATAAGGTGAGACAAGCATGGGTAGAAAGTTCTGCTCATTCTTCAAGTTTGCAATTTTATCCCTACATTTCAATCCACCTACAACTTTTTTCAATTTTTAATCACATACTTCATGGGATTCACCAACTAATTTTATCGATTTCATTTGTTAAAAATCTACATCGGACATACTCGTAATGAAAGGCGAACAAAATGAAAAGAGAAATAAAAGAAAAGAAATGCAAGCCTAGCCCAAATCTCCTCCTACATCAACATCCCGAACCCTAGTCCCAGCACTACCCTAGTCCACCACCCACCCCTACGATCCCCGGCCACCATCACACAACCTCTGCTAGTCTCTCCTCGTTGTCCTAGTGCATCTCGACCCCTGCTATTCCCATCAAAATATCTCCACCCCAGATGCCGAAAACATCCAAACAAATGATATTTTTCCTTTTCATTTTCTAGCTATTGTTGTCTTTTCATTTCGTTTCTAATTATTGATAAGTGTATTTTATACGCTTATTCGGTGCATAAAATATCGATATTTAGCAATTCATTTGACAAAATATATTCTAAATTATTGTATTTTATGTTATATAGGTAAAACTCAATGGTTAAACGAGGAATCGAAAGAAAAAAGCGAAAAATGATGAAAATTGAAAAATTCAAAGTTTGAGAACCAAATTGAAAATATTCAATAGTTGTTTCGGACCACAAGACAATACTTCAAAGATTGTTATGAGACAATTGGATGTAATTAGAACTCAAAATCCTAACCCTTTGTGGTCAATTATGTTTATCTTTCAATTGTTTTGCTTTTTATTCGAGGCATAACAAGTTCTCACAGCCCCTTTCAACAAAAATAAATAAATAAATAGACATTTTAACATCTATTTTAGTCTATGTTTATCTCACAGTCTAATGAACGTAAATTAAGATGAATTGGCACAAAAAATAGCTCATGAGCCTACTTAAGACATTTTGAACATGATAGAGATTGCTCCTATCATTTTTCGCAAGAATAACGTCAAATATGAAGATCCAAATATATGTAATTTTTCACAATAAAAACTCACCTAGATGTAATTTTCACGAACCTAACACTTAAAAGAGGAAAACATGTTGACCTCAAATTTTGTACCTCCAATGTCACCAACAGATCTTTAGACAGCTCACGTCCATGCAAGCTTGATTCTTGCGCATTTGGATAAATCGTTAGCCACATATGGCTTCCTTCGATAATGGTGAAATTGGTCGCATGTACTCCAACGATTAAGTCAATTGAGGATATAAATGTATGAGTGTGGGAGAGTTTTAGACGTTAATCTACAATGTAGAAAGGGGTCGACTTTGGGCTGTATATAGAGAATAATAAGAGAGCAAAATTATATCTTGAGAGTATAAATTTGCATTGCCTTGAAAAGACACTAATCGTGACCTTTTATAGTAGGAAATGATATGGTCATTGGGTGAAAAGACACGTGAACTCATCCAAACGGTTGGGTCATCTTATCAGAGGCATCAATCAGTCATAGACATTAAATGTTTATATCGTTTTGTTGCCCATAAACCTGTCACGAGACTTAGACTTGACCTGGTTGATTGGATGAGGGTGACGACGTCAGTGACCTGTTACATCAATCACATACCATAGGTTGTGTGAAGGATCTCCTGCTATACCCCCCTTGCAGCCTCTTCCTTGTATGTGGGTTTGGTTCTTTCATGTGAGTCAACCTAGTCAAATGGGTTCAGTCTTATGATGTGAAGCACAAGCCCCAAGTTTAGGCGCCATGTTGGGTATTTTGGGGCTCGTCAGTCTAGTCTATAACAGAACTCCTAGCAAGTTTCTGAATTGAAGTATTGTATTCTCCATCCATTCGATCGTAGTAGAGGGGTTTGATTCCCGTTATATTTAACACTATAATATCTAAATTTTATTCAAGTTTTTAATATTTTCACATGAGACAATTTATTTTCCTTAATGAAAAGAGATATATACCTTTTGTAACGAGTAATTCAAACAAACAAAATCCTCGACGTGTCTAAACTAACATATGCTTGAGTTAGTGTTCCAAATGAGTAAATTAAACCAAAAATAAAAAAATAAAATTACAAAAATCGAGTCATAGAACTACTCGCCTACTATATATGACAACAAAAATATAAGTTAAATTTGAGTATTGACGGATTTTGACACAACCACTTGTCTTTTCAACTAGAGCAATCGCTAGGAAAACTATAACCATTGTCAGTTTCCTTTAGAGTGGGCTGGCAAAGATGAAGCTTCTGAGCATGACACTGTTGGAGGCCCCCGTCTGTACAGTAGTTCACATGCCAGTTCTTGAAGATCGCCGCCTCCTCTAGCTGATGATGATATCTCAGGCGGACCTCTGGTGGCACCAAATAGACGATGATCAATTTGCGTTGGCAGCATTGTCATTATTGGATCAAACTGTGATGATAAATCATAAGTTGGTGGCGCTGTTGGCAAGTCGAATATAGATAGGGTGGCAGGTGGTACTAGTAGTGGTTGCGGCAGTAGTGTTGGAAGCTCCAGCGCCGCGAGGTGAGCTTGTAAGTAAGTGAGCTCAGCCTGCAAATTCGCCACCTGTAATACCAATACCAAAAAATTGACACACGTTTACCATCTAGCACTGAATATGAAAGCGACAATGAACAACAGAGATTCTATACTGAACATAAGAGAATGAAGAGTAAGAGTAGATAGAATGAAGTGCAAAATCTTCTTTTCCTATCAAGTTCGATTGCGACCTTAAGACCTGATTAAATTTGGTCTCTTTATTTTTCATTTGTTGGAATTAAAGTCGAGTCCCCTCCTAATCAAGTAATAGTAATTCATGTTTTCTCGCGAACTAAATTAGAAAAACCATAAATTGTGCTTCTTGTAAATTTGAGGCAATAGTTTTTCAATAGTTTAATGTATTAAACCGAGGACCCCAGAATGACAGACCATCTCCTTAATAACAGCAAAATCATAGAATTTGCACAGAAAAAAGTGTATCAGCACAAACTACATCATAACATAATCAAATCCATTAGGTTTCTTGATTTCAGCGAAACAATAAACTGTTCCCCCAATGCACCACATCATGGTCCACACTTAATTCCTCGAGCCAGATCCAAGATACATAAACCAACTCAAACCTTCAAACCTACTCAATGACAGCTTAATCAGACTAATATTATATTCTGTAATTTCTTTGTAGCATGGCTAGAGAAGGATTGTGGTGATTTGTCACTTTTAATTTGATAAGTGTATGCACTTAAATAAAAGAAATTAAAAAAAAATGCTTGCATTTATATTCAAATGTGTTTGATCACTATTGAGGAGTTCAGCTGGCAGGATAAAACACGAAAGTTTGTAACGGAAGGAGAGGGATTATAGGATAGACCATAAATAAGTCACTAATCATGTAGGGACATCTGTGTCATTTTTGCTAAATGGAGGGCGAGTTAAGTTCTAAGATCAGGCCGAAAGGCATAGTCGAATGTATAACCATCGAAGTATTAGACCTGACTGGTACTTTAATAGACAAGATTTTAACTTATTTAATACAATTTTTACTAAACAAGACAGGAGTATATTTACCTGTTGTTGAAGGGCAAAGATGTGGGCAACACAGCCATGGACGGGATCTCTAAGCCTCGCCTGAGCCTCATAATATGTCGTAACCACCGCGTCCACTCGCTTGTTTTCCGGAATGTGCAGAAGAAGCTTAGACACATTGCTGGCTCCAAACACCTTATGTACAGCTGCAAAGTGTGCTGCACCTTGTTCTGAATCAAAATAGGGCGCAAATATGCACCCAGCCACACACTTCCTCCTCAAGAACTTGCATGCCCCACATGGTCCACCTCCTCCACCAGCAGCACCGCCACTGCTTCCACTGCTGCTGCCTCCACCGCCGTTGTTATTTCCACTAGGGTTTTCACTCATTTTCTTGTTATTTTATCCTCGATAGCACAGGACATCACACTAATACAGTTTTTTTGAAAAGGGATCTCGAAGAACAAATAGATACATAGAGAGAGGGTGGTTGTCTAGGGTTTGGTGATACTTGTTTATGGGGATAGAGTGGGGGTGTTAAACACTAAATGAAGTCTTTAAAGCCACGCGATGAAGCAAACCCCATATAGCTGTTTGCGTGAAGCAAACATGAGATAAACCAACTTCCATTTTTCACTTATCTTCCTTCAACTCGTGAATTTTGCTAGCAAACTTCATGTTTTCTTGAAATGTATATATATGTAACAGTAATATACACACCTCTACATACTCTGAGAGAGAGAGAGAGAGAGAGAGAGAGATTAAAACTATATGAGAAGTTGAAAAGTGTCTATGAGAGTGTTTTAGATTAGGCTCACCGCGGGTTTTAAGCTGCGAAGAGGACAAAAGACACCAACTTTACATCTCTTTCTCTCACTATCTCTTGACGTCGAAAATTACTTTCTTTTAACACATCATTACACTTGATGCAAACTATTTTCAGAGGTAGATAGCATAGTAAGGTGTTTGGGAGTGTTTTTGAAAAGTTAAAAATTGCTTTTAAAATTAAAATATTATTTTTGATCATGTTTCGAAAATTTTGTGAAAGTGCTTTATGTGGCTAAAAGAATTTTTAGAAAAATCCGGTTTAAGGTAACTTTCTTAGAAAATTCTTGACACACCGTCCATAATTCAGTTCAAGGGATTTTTCCTAAAATGTTTATAGAATTAACTAGGTTAAATTTTTATTTATTAATTGGAAAAAAATAAGTTTAGTTTTTCATATATGAACTTGCTTTTATGAGATCATTTATGGATGTATTTAATATTGTATAAATAAAAATTATAAATACCTAATTATATATGCGAATAGCTAACATCACTATTCGTGTATTTTCTTTATTGATATCAATTGCTTGATCTTGATGTAGGGTGCTAACTACCATTTCATTTTACCCCTATATAATATTATTCGTAACTTTTTAGGATGAACAGTAGTTGAAATTAATGATTGACTTTGATTATCTAGAAAAATGAATTTATTAACTTTTTTTTGTACTAAGTGAGACTTTGTATTTTTCTTATTTGTCTAGAATATTGTCCTTAATACTTCTTGTTGGAAAAAACTGGATAAGTGGCTGACTTTGGCACGAATTTTGAGCGAGACCCGCTTGGCTATTTTGAAAGATGAAAGTTGATTTGTGTTCTCCTCCGTGAGTACATCGAAATCATATACTT